TAGAATAGAATAGAATAGAATAGAATAGAATAGAATAGAATAGAATAACAGAGTTGGAAGGTTCCTTGGAGGTCTTCTAGTCCAGCCCCCTGCTTAGGCAGGAAACCCTACACCACGTCAGACAAATGGTTGTCCAATCTCTTCTTAAAAACCTCCAGTGTTGGAGCATTCACGATTTCTGGAGGCAAGTTGTTCCATTAATTAATTGTTCTAACTGTCAGAAAATTTGTCCTTAGTTCTAGGTTGCTTCTCTTCCTGGATTAGTTTCCTCCCGTTGCTTCTTTTTCCTGCCCTCAGGTACGTTGGCTTGATTCCCTCTTCTTGGTCACAGCCCCTGAGAAATTGGGAGACTGCTATCATGTCTCCCCTAGTCCTTTTTTTTTCATTAAACTAGACATACCCAGTTCCTGCAACCGTTTCTTTATATGTTTTAGCCTCCAGTCCCTTAATCCTCTTTGTTGCTCTTCTCTGCACTCTTTTTAGAGTCTCAACATCTTTTTTTACATTGTGGCAACCAAACCAGATGCAGTATTCCAAGGGTGGCCTTACCCCAAGGGATTCCATAGCAACAGACCTGTTGCTGTGAAAGAATGAGGCACAGAAGGGCTGCAAGCTTCTGAGAGAGACACGCAGAAGAGCCCTAGGGGATTCCTCTGCTTCTTTCATTGAACATTTTTCTGCATCCAGGCTGGGAAAAGACCTTCCCTTGAGCCTCTAAGTGGCCTTTTTCTGGTTGCAATGTTTGGTAGGTAGAAATTACCTTGGGAGACCAGGGAAAAAAAGATGCTGAATTTATCAGGTAAAGAGGGAGTTAGTCTACAGCTGAAGAATGGGCAGAGAAAGAAACTTTAAAAGGATCTGCATTAACTTACCAGGTGGTAAAAAAGAGACGGTGGGGGAGTTGTACTTTCAGACTTGGGAGATACTGTCAGTTTCCCAGACAGGAAAAATGACAAGTTAATTCTATGCTATTGTTAGGCTACATTAACAGACACTCATAGTCTCATCTTTTCTATCTTCCTGCCCATCCGATTCTGGCCTTCTCTTTTTTCCTTCCTTCCTTCCTTCCTTCCTTCCTTCCTTCCTTCCTTCCTTCCTTCCTTCCTTCCTTCCTTCCTTCCTTCCTTCCTTCCTTCCTCCTTCTCCTCCTGAGGGCCTTGGAGAACTGCGGATTTCAGCATGAATAATCTTGTACATTACTATGTACCTCAGGGCCATAAGTGACAAAAACCCCATGCACCCCATGCACCAGGGAACTGAGCATTATCTTCCACCTTTGTTTTTGTTTTGTTTTTTAATTTTAAAATAGATTTTATTTACAAAAGATTAAAACACAAACAAACATGCAAATATGAAAGAATAAAAAGAATATAAATAGAACAATAAACGTATCTCTATTACATTTGATATTAAGATTGATAACTCATAGTAAACAGTAGTAAGTAATCATTGGCAAGTATTCCTTATCCCTTATCAATTACCTATGAATTAATAAATAGTATATTATTCTGCTATTACTATTGGATTATAATTGTATTGGTTAATCGAATGGAGCCTTCATAATATTTATATAATAGACGAGAAGCTTAAAATCATTATTATACATTCAATATATACAACTATAGTATGTGTCCTGGGTTCATTTATCCTGTATACCAGGGGTCCCCAACCACCGGGCCGCGGACCGGTACTGGTCCGTGGAACATTTCCTACCGGGCCGCCAGTTTGCTGGGCGCCGCCATCTTGTTTGATGAGAAAGTGCTTCCGGGTGAGCTTTTCCGGTTGGAAAACGGCGTTTAGGTCCTGAAGGAATCCTCGCACCTTAGTTTCATTGAAGGGGGGGGGGGGCTTCAAATAAAACTAAGGTGCGAGGATTCTTTCAGCACCCAAGGCAAGGCGAGCCGAGCAACCATCCCGATGCCGTCCCAAAGCGAAGCCCATCGACAAAGGTACAAAGGAGGAGTTGAAGGTGGCGGGGAGAAGCGGGGGACGGCTGGCTGGCCGGTCGCTCGGCTCGCCTTGCCTTGTCATGCATGCTGATGCCGGTACCGGGCCGCGGATCATTTTGTGATGCCGGTACCGGGCCGTGGCACAAAAAAGGTTGGGGGCCACTGCTGTATACCATTTTTCTTGCATTCTATCCAGCTGCATCACTTATCCCAAACCAAATAATACTCTGACTCTTCTTTCCCATTTAATTTGAGCGAGAGCCTCTCCATTTCGGCGCATTTGTAGCTTTTTTGAATAATAACGGGTATCAGTGGTACATCGGGCGTTTTCCAATATTGCGCTAAAGAAATTCGTGCTGCTGTTAATAAGTGGATGATCAGATATCTCACTTTGGGAGGGTGTTCCCCTTTAATCATTCCCAGGAGGAACAATTCCAGTTTCCACTCCAGTCCACATTCAATAATTTCTTCTATTCATAGTCTTATCCTATCTTCCACTGTTTTCATCTCTAAGGCCCCAAAGAAGCTTCTAATAGCGTAGAATCTTCCAGGAAGGAAAGAACTTCCTACCAACTTTTGTGGGCTGAGAATTCTGGAAATTTCAGCTTCAGAAGTTCAAGCAAGTGGATGATATAAACTGGCAGGCTGTTTAATTCAACATTCATGGTTCAAGTAATTAAAAAAAAATAGTCTTCCTCGTTTTTCTTTGAAGTTTTGGTTCTCATCCAAGAAGCTTCAGTTGCTTCTTGAAAAAGCACTTTTGGGGACAGCTATGGCCTGGATGACTGAGAATCTCCCTGGACAATAGTCCCAAGGTATATTCCATTTCCAGCAGCCACCACAAGGTGCTTTCTTTGGTAGCTTACACCCTTGCAAAAATTATGCACAGAGGGGGAACCCCAGTTTGAGACTGTTCTCTCTACAAAAGCTTCTCTTGTATCAATGTAGGGCCTTCTCAGGATGACAGAGGACAAAGTGCCTAGTATGCTACAATGGATAGCATTGCAATTAAATATGGTCAATTAAATGTAAACCTTCTGCTCGCTTGGAAATTGTGTTCCTGGTTTTAGATATTATTTAATGTCTCTGTCAGGCTTCCAAGTGATGAAATCCATTTAAAAAGAAAAGAGCCAAGTCCATCTTCCAAAACAGTTTCTTTTATTTAGGAAAACATCAAATTGACAAAGTCCGTGGTAATTCTGGATCTGACCCAACCTGGAATTACCTCACAATATTAAAAATTAGAAACAACCCCCCCAAAAGTCACTTTCTACAATAGAAGTAATTCAACGTTGCTTGATGTCATAAATCTCCACCTCAAGGGGCCTGAACACAGTCAGCTCATTTTCCCACAGGAAGAAGAACCACCTAGCCTAAATAACTCTCCACTCCTCTCCCCTTAGGAATGTGGCAAGCCCGAAACCCTTCCCCCCCATGACCACCAAAAAGAAAGTAAGAAAAAGAATATATACTAAGCCTAACTAAAATGGCTACACATATGTCAATTTTAGGTTTTGACAGTCTCCTTCTCCCACACCCAAGAAAAAAAGAAGAGAAAGAAAAGCCTTCCACACCTGCGGGCGTTGTGGTTGTGATACTGAATGTTGCAAAAAAAAGAAAAAGAGGGGTGGAAGGTTCACTCACATGCTGTAAAAGAACAAGTAGGAAGATTGAGTGTGATACTCTGGGGACACCCTGGCGCTAATATATGCCATCTTTGGGTGGGTGCCATAGCCTCAACATTCTAGTAGGTGCCATGGTTAAAAGCTTGTTCTGTGCCCTCTCTTAAGTTTTGTGTTCTTCTGAGTCAATTCTGGAAACACTACACGGCACGAGATCTGGCCCATGATGGGATTTCTCACAATGCCTTTAATTTAGCATGGCCTTGGGGACTTGTGGGGAATGTAGACGGCATGTAAGAACTCCATCCAGTCAACATGATCTGGAACATTGCAATTCAGCTCTGTGCAGAAGTCTGTAGAGATTCTTTGTCCTCCAGGACATGGTTTTCCCCCAAAGGTGCTTTTTTCAGGAGGCAACTGGACTTTCTTGTGTTTTTTTTTTCCTTTTGAAGACGTTTCACTTCTATCCTCGAAACGTCTTCAAAAAAAGAAAGAAGAAGGAAGTCCGGTTGCCTCCTGGAAAAGCACCTCTGGGGCCACCATGACTTGGAGGACTGAGAATCTCTACATACTTTGAGCTATACGATTTGGGATGGTCTGGGAGTATGAACGGATGTCTAGAAGAAAAAAAATGCAGACTACAGGAAACAAGAGCACTGCTCAGGTGGCCTTGGGGACACAGATAAACCTCCAAGTGGCCTCAACAGCTCTCTAAAAGGACGCAAATGACCAGCTGTCTGCAAGGAGTAGAAATCCTTCTATTCCCCACCATTCAGTCAGAGCTGAAGATGCTTCTTGGATGAGAAACGAAACGTCGTCAAAAGAAAAACAACAACCAGAAAGTCCAGTTGCCTCCTTAAAAAGCACCTTTGGGACAGCTCTGTGCAGAGCAGCTCCGCTCTTCCTCGGTGTCTCTTTGATCTCCTGGTTCCAGCGGTTTTGCAAGTTGCTCCACCTCACATGGAAGTAATGGAGAAAGCCAAATCATTTCCAGCCACCCAGCATTTTATCTGGTGGAAATGGCCTCTCGGGTATCAGGTCTCTCTCTTTTGAAGCACCTTGAAACAGGCAGTTAAGTGACTGGAGTGAGGAACTCTGCCGAAAAATATGTCATGCAGAACTTCCTTCTCAGATTGGGAATCTGCCCTTTTGAAAAGCAATGGAAGATCCTTCCTTCCTTCCTTCCTTCCTTCCTTCCTTCCTTCCTTCCTTCCTTCCTTCCTTCCTTCCTTCCTTCCTCCCTCCCTCCCTCCCTCCCTCCCTATCTCCCTCCCTTCCTCCTTCCCTCACTCATTCACTCATTCCCTGTCTCACTCCCTTCCTTCCTTCCTCCTTCACTCCCTTCCTTCCTTCCTTCCTCACTCACTCCCTGTCTCCCTCCCTCCCTCTTTCTCTCCCTCCCTCCCTTTTTCTCTCCCTTCTTTCTTCTTATCCATCAAGAGTTGAAGGCGCCATCCTATTCCTGGCTCACTTAACTTCCTTTTAAGGAAGTTTCCCTAGCAAATCATCTTCATGGCAGCTTCCCAACAGGCTGCTCTCTGTCCATGGGGCATGCGTGAAAAAAAAAAAAATCAAGATGGTTGACCTTGATGCAACAGAATTCCCCCTCCTTCTTTTCAAAAGTCTACATTTTTTTCCCTCATATACCAGCCAACCTCTTCTTTCACCCTACTTGCCAGCTCCGTTTTCTCCTACCCAGAGGTGGTGTTCAGCAGGTTCTGACCGGTTCTGGAGAATGAGTAGTGGAAATTATGAGTAGTTTGGAGAACCAGCAAATCCCACCTCTGACTGGCCCCACCCCCATCTATTCTCTGCCTCCCGAGTCCCAGCTGATCGGTTGAGTCTTCTTTGGTTGCCCTGCACAGGAGAACGGAGCTGGAAAGAAGGTTAGTGGGATGTGGAGGGAATGGAAATTTTGCAGTACCCTTCCCCTGCCACGCCCACCAAGCCACACCCACAGAACTGGTAGTTTTTTTAAAAAAAGGAATCCCACCACTGCTCCTGCCAGTCCTTCCTTTTCATCTCTGTTTTGGAAATTTCAGTTCCTGGCAGGCTGCCTGTGAGCCTCTGCATTTGATGCTACATTTGCCTTGTCTTTCAAAAGGGACAAGTGTTATTATCTTGGATGGTGGTGTATGGGTGCACACGTGCGTGTGTGTGTGTGTGTGTTAGCTCTTTCCACTGTCTAGAGGGTAGGCCTAAGTTAGCTGAGACAGAAGGGTCTTTGTTATGGATCTTCCAAAGCCAGGGAGACTTGGCTGAGGAAGCCAGCTACACAACGTGGTTCACACAGTGGTGCATTGTGTGTGTCTCTTGGTATTTGGGTATTTGGGGAGCTGGAATTATTAAAAAAGTATGGAACGGGCACTTCTGTAATTAGGAAGAAAAGGAAGAAAATCCCACTTGCTTCTCCAAAGTAGTGGCCGATAAAGACCAAAGCTCTACTCTCAAGCATCTCTCTTGGTTCAGTCCCCCATTTAAGCAAAACTAGATTGAAAAAGTTTTTACTAACTTTTTCCCCAGTTTTTGGAACTCAATCCATACATTTTCTCTGCGTTCTCCATTCCCCTCGCATTCCTAGTTTGCCTCTTCCTTGGTGCTCTTTCTCTTCTGTAATTGCTGATCATTGTTTTCTTGGGAAAAATATTCTGCCCCAACTTCAGAAGAGAAAGAAGACGAAAAACCAAGAATGCGGTCTCTGTTCTCTTGGCCTTTTTTAAAAAATATATATATAAATTGGGATGGAGCCAGTAAAGTTAGTCTCTCTCTTTCCAAGCGAGGCATGATTCTGCAATCTTGGAAATAGGAAGAAATTGCATAATTATCCTTAGCAGTAACATGATTAATTATTGGAGGTATGAAGAGAAAAGGAAGCAGAAGTCGCTTCCTATCGTGATTTCATCCCTTTCTGACTACAGATTTTAGTGGATTTTCCCCACATGGCTTTGCATCTCCAAAGGATTTTATAGGTTCTTTGCTTCTTAGCAACAATTAGGTTTTCAGGAAGGCAATTCTGCAGCCAGAAATCACAACTGCTTTTCTCCATTAAACAACAGAATACATTCAACCATGTCTATTTTGCTGAAAAATATCAATTTACACAATAGCAATAGCACTTAGATTTACATACCACTTTATTTATAGAGCTTTAAAGCCCTCTCTAAGTGGTTTTTACAGAGTCATCATATTGCCTCCAACAATCTGGGTTTTACCCAACTCGGAAGGATGGAAGGCTGAGTCAACCTTGAGCCTGGTGGGATTTGAACTGCCAAATTGCAGGCAGCCGGCAGTCATCAGAAGTAGCCTGCAGTACTACACTCTAACCACTGCGCCACTGAGGCTCTTACTCAAGCCATAAGGCTCCGTATGCTGTTTTGTACACTGCTTTGGAAAGCGATTTACTTTTAATTTTATAGAATATAGGACAAGGTGCTGATACAATTAATTATTCTTAATCCAGTATCCAGCCCTTTTCATCTATTAATTATTACAATATGGATTTAAGGTATATAATGTACTAGCTTGATACCTGTGCTTCACTACAAAACTATGTGATCGGGTTTAGTTTTCGGGGAGGAAAATAAGGGGGGGAAATTCTGCTTCTACCTAGCAGCATCCATTAGTATTCATCTGGCTAGCATCCTATCAGTGTGTGAGAGAGTTGAGGGCTGTTTGGAAACTGAAACAGTATTTGCTGTGTGAATAAGAAGGAGACAGCAAGGAGCCTAGGCATGGCTTAGCTCAACTGTTCTGTACTAAAACTGCTTGGTGCTCTGAAACTCCTCTGCTTGTATTTTGCATTTGGAACAGATTTATTTTCAGGTGGGGAGGGGGAGTAGAACTCCTTAGCATCAGAGCATGTTAATAATAATAATAATAATAATAATAATAATAATAATAATAATAATAATAATAATAATAATAATAATAATGGAAATACTAATGCTCTGATGGTCATTTCAAAAAACCCTTTCTTAGTGAGCACTTAGAAGCCAAGAGAAACATACGTGCCAAATTTCAAGTTTGTAGGCTTTACGGTTCTGGAGATTTTGTGGTGATGCATGAGTGGTATTTCACTTTTATATATATAGATAATCCACCTTTAGTTTCTACATAGATTTTAATCTTCTAGTGAGTTCACAGACTTTTGTCTATGATTCTATCTAGCTACTTTTTTCATAGTTTATATATTAGATTTTCTTTTCTTATTGTGATGAACACACCTGCTGATATAGAGCAGGGCTCTTCAACCTTGGCAAGTTTAAGACTTGTGGACTTCAACTCCCAGAATTCCTCCTCCAGTCATGTTAGCTCAGGAATTCTGGGAGTTGAAGTCCACAAATCTTAAACTTGCCAAGGTTGAAGACCCTTGGTATAGAGGGAAGAGTAAAGAGGTGATCTAGTTTGGACTCACTCCGTAGGAGGAAGAGTCTTGAAGTCTTCGTCTTCCATTTCAGTCTGGTGAGATTCAACAATAAAGAAACTACTTTGCCCTATTCACGGAGTTGCTCTGGTTCCCCAGAAGGGCAGTGGTTGACAGAAAAAAAGAAATGAAACTACAAGAAAGAAGTTAAAACGGAGAGGAGATGTCAAAAATGGAAAGGAGGTCTAAAACAAAAAGAGAAGAAGTGGCAATAGTCAATTTTGGGTTGAAGTTAGTCTACCATCTTATTCATCCCATAATCTGGGTATGTGGCGTGACCTCCAGCCGATTGCTATATTATTATATTTTTCAATCTTGGCAACTTTAAGATGGGTGGACTTCATCTCCTACAGTTTCCCAGCCAATATGCCAGCTGAGAATTCTGGAAGTTGAAGTCCACCCATACTAAAGCACCAAGATGAAGAAAAATTGGTGCAAGGGAAGCAAAGAGGTGCACAATGCCAGGTTAATAAAAGACAAAATGGCCGCTGGAAGTCCTTCCATTTTGTTTACATCACATGTTGCATGGGGAGGTAGTAATTTGTTCTTGTGGTTGTGGCCACCATCTTCACTTTCTTGATGCTCCCTATGGTTCCTCTTAATGCGAAAGTGGTTTTAGGCAGGAAGAAATAAAAGTTACCCTTCCTCTAAGTCAAGGAGGCCCATTTTGTGGCTTTTGGTTGCTTCAAAAAGTTTGGAAGGGAAAGGATCATGAAGAGGGCAGGGCCGGGAAAAAAAAAGCTACATGAAATAAAGTTTAATTAAAATATATCAAGTAACTTAATGGATTACATAGAGCAACTGATGATGATTCCTCACGTATCTCAGCATTTCCTCCTTTACGTTATTAAAAATGAGCATTGGGTGGCTACCTTTGTAAAGACTCTCAAGGGCCTCACCCAACTTTTTCAGGAATGACAGCAATTTGGGATTGGCAACTGCACATCTTGGCACTGAAGAAGTATGTTTTCTTGGAATAATTTAGTGAGCTTGGATTAATTTAATGAACATGATGATGTTTGTTCATGGAGCTGTGGTTGAGAGAAGAACTGCAGGGGGGTGGTGTCCTTGAAAACCTGGGGATTTTTTAAGTAGAAAGGGTGTAGATTCAATTAATTGGCAGTCTTAGGATAACCAGGTCTGTCTGGAATTTATGCTTATGCTGGCTGAGGAATTCTTTATTTATTTGTCAAGCAAGTATTAGATAACAGGTATAAGTATAAGCATGGTTATGAATACATGAAATGGATACGAATAAAAAAGAAGCAATAGGACAGGGATGGTAGACATGTTGGTGCACTTATGCACGCCCCCTACAGACCTCTTAGGAAAGGGGTGAGGTCAATAGTAGACAGTCTAAGGTTAAAGTTTTTGGGGTTTGGGGAAGAAACCACAGAGTCAGGTAGAGTATTCCAGACATTGATCACTCTGTTACTGAAGTCGTATTTCCTGCAATCAAGTTTGGTGCGATTAACCTTGAGTTTGTATTTATTGTGTGCTCTTGTATTGTTATGGTTGAAGCTGAAATATTCCTTGAAAGGTAGGACATTGCAATATATAATTTTATGTACTATACTTAGATCAAACCGAAGGCAGCATAGTTCTAGGTTGTTTAGGTCTAAACTTTCAAGTCTGGTGGCATAAGGTATTCTGCAACGAGTAGAGGAGTGGAGAACTCTTCTTGTGAAATATTTCTGGACTTTCTCTACTGTATTAATATCAGATACGTAATGCGGATTCCAGACTGATGAGCTGTATTCAAGTACTCTAGTCTAACTGGAACTTTTCTGCCCTTTTTCCTTTGCAGAATGGAGGAGATAGCTCCGAAGGCCATGAGCTTTCATCTCACCCTTTGTTGAAGCGGTCCCAGAGTTACAACCCTGCTACCAAAACCCCGGTGGGACCTCTAGTCCTCAAGAGTGGCTATTGTGTCAAGCAGGGGAACGTAGTAAGTGTCGTTTTGACTTGTCTTTGGTGACTCTCTTGGTCATTTTATCTCTCTGGAGAGTTTTTGGATGAGGAGATCGTTTCAAGGAATGCTGTTAGGAAAAGACTCTTGAGAGGAAGGAGGAAATGAAAAACACAGGTAGTCCTTGACTTACGACCACAATTGGGCGCAACATTTCCATTGCTAAGCGAGGCGTTTCTTCAATGAGTTTTGTCCCAACTTGTTTGCCATAGTTGTTAAATGAACCACTGCAATGGATAAGTTGGTAAGCCAGTTGTTAAGTGCATCTGGCTTCCCGATGGACTTTGCTTGTCAGAAGGTTACTGAGAATTTTGCGGTGATAATTCAGCACCAGAAAAATAAATGCAGATGGCTGATGCTTCATTTAACATCTTCATAAACATAATAAGATTTTACAAACCAGTTGTAGATTTCTCCAACATGGAGCAAACTCAAACAGAAACATGTTGCAAGCTCAGAGCAGAGCTCCAGTCTTCAGCAAGTAAGCAAGCAAGTTAGTTTCATCTTCAGTAGACAGACTTAGAGCTCCAACATAGCTTCAGAGTTGCAGAGCTTCGTATAGAGCCACGCCTAAGCTACTTTTAGTTTCAGTTTCCAAACTATCCTCATTGGCTGATTTAGTTGCTATGCCTATTCATTGGCTAACCTTGTTACCAAGCTCTATTCCAGTTCATGAATATACTGACAAAGGTCACGAAAGGAGATCACATGAACTTGGAACACAGGAATGGTCCAGTGGTGGTATTCGACCGGTTTGGCCTGGTTCTGGTGAGCCGGTTGCAGCGATGAGCAGTAGAAACCAAACTGGTTCTCTCTGCCTCTCTACTGTTGGGCCCACCTGCCTGCCCAGGCTCCCATAATCACCTTTATCCGCTGAATTTGAAATGCAGCTTCTTTGTGCGGCATAGAATAGTGCCACGCAGCAGGTGCTAAAGCAACCGGGATCATGCAGGCTTGCAGAAGGTGAGTTAGAACGCCTCTGCACCTGCGCAAAGTATGCGTTTGGCACGCGCATGCACACAAAGTGTGTGCACGCGCGCAAAGCCCGCCCACCAAGCCACACCCACTGAACCGGTGGCAAATATATTTGAATCCCACCACTGGAATGGTCATAAGTATGAACCAGTTGCCAAACAAGTCAGTAATGCAGCTGTTCAGTGAATCTGGCTTTCCCCATTGACTTCGTTTGTCAGAAGTTTGCAAAAGATAAGATCACATGGCCCTGGCACACGGCAGCTGTCCCAAATACGAGCTGGCTGCCAAGCATCCAAGTTACGATCACGTGATCCGGGGAATGCTGCTTTAGAGCCACAGTTGTGCCAAGTCGTTTTTCGGCGCCATTGTAACTGCGAAGAGTCACTAAACAAATGGTTGTAAGTCAAGGACTATTTGTGCTCCTTGGAAAAGGAAGAAGAAAGCAGAAAAGGGAAAGTCAAGCAAGAGGTTCTTTTCCTCCAGCAGAAGACCCAAATGGTATGCGGGAATGACCTTGGGAGGCAGGAGGAAGAGCTGCAGACTGGAGACCTGGAATGTCAACGGTATCTCAGTCCAGCGGCCCCCCAATTTGGGCACCAGGGGCAAATTCCGTGGAAAGTGTTTTTTCCATGGACCAAAGGGGGGGAGGGTTACGCAATGCTGCCTTGCATCTTGCGAACGGGGCTTTGCTTGTTTGCATGGCCCGGTTTCTGGCATGCCACAGCTCAGTGCTGGTCCACGGACTGGGAATTGGGGTACCTTGTCTTAGTCCATAGAAGGAGGGAGGACATGGGAAGTGTCTCAGAAGGGAACCTGTCTAGTTTTTGGTTTTTTGGTTTTTGGAGTACAAAAGGAGAGGAAAGGAGAAATATGTTCAGACTTCCAAGACACTTTGCATATACAATTCGACAGAGTACTCCTGGCTGTGCTTCTTACCTGACGACCTTGAAGAAATACCAAAGGCAGAGCGAGAAAGCATCCCTCACCTGGAGGTGTCTTTGGATTTGAGCTCACCATCACTTGTCACTTGGTTACAGGGGTGGTGGGTTTTCAGGATGTGGTCATCAAAACTTAAGATGGCAGCCCCAAGAGGCAACTGGACTTCCTTGGTGTTTTTTTTTCCCTTTTCTTTGAAAATGTTTTGCTTCTCATCCAAGAAGCTTCTTCAGTTCATTTCTTGGATCAGAAGCAAAACGTTTTGGAAGAAACAACAACAACAAGAAAGCCCAGTTGCCGTTTGGAAAAAGCAGCTTGGGACAACCATGACCTGCACAATTGAGAATCTCCGTAGACACTTAAGATAGCAGCCTTCGCACTGCAGCTAAAGCTGGTGTCAGCCTTGGACGCCATTTTTTACTTGGAAGCTTCGCGGCTGCCGCATTCAGTGCCTGGGAATTTGGAAGGGGGAATTTCATAGTGATTAGACACAACAACGTTCATTCTCAGAGAGTCAAGGACATGTCGCCCTGCACCTGGAAGGGAGTGTCTGGAGGAAGGTCTCCAGTTGGGACGAAGATTTGATTGGACCATGTGATGGACTGATGGATCTTTGACTTCTCTTTTGGGAAGGGGAAAACCAGGAACTCTTAGATTCAGGTTTTCCCGGATGTGCCAATAGGAGAACTCTAATAAAATGGAACTTTGAGGAAATGCCTGTCTCAGAGTTTATTGGGTTGGAGTTTGTTAGTTGGAACGCCGACAGCTGGACTTTCAATCACACGACACAAACATAAAAACCAATCCAGGTTCTTAGCAGCCATTCTCAGCATCTGCTCAGAATGGCCTCTGTGTTACATGGAGTATTTGGAAGAACGGTTTAAAAGGGATTCTTTTTGCCTTCCAGAGAAAGAGCTGGAAACGCCGTTACTTCATGCTGGATGAAAATTCTGTCAACTATTTCAAATGCGAGCAGGTAAATAGCCCAGACCTTTTCAAAGCTGTGATTTCGTCTCATTGTCTCTCTTCCCTGATAGCTGCAGAGAAGATGGCTGCAGATTCTCTTCCTTTGAACCAAATCTTCATGTTCTGGGAAGCAAATTACACTTTGATATCCAAGAAGGATATTTGTTCCAGGACTGCAGTGGTAAAATCAGGTTAGGACAGATAGGGTTTAAAAGGGACGCTGATGCCTCAGAAGTTTTAAAGTTTCTTCAAGATCTTGTGAACGGGACCAGTGGTGGGATTCAAAATTTTTTACTACTGGTTCTGTGGGCGTGGCTTGGTGGGCGTGGCAGGGGAAGGATACTGTAAACTCTCCAGTCAAAGGTGACATTTGGCAGTTCTCTGAACTACTCAAAATTTCCACTACCGGTTCTCCAGAACTGGTCAGAACCTGCTGAATACCATCTCTGGAACAGACCCTTGTTTTAACAACCCGTAGTCCACAGACATCTAGGTAAAGGTAAGGGTAAAGGTTTCCCCCGCACATACATGCTAGTTTCTGGCTTAAGGGGCGGTGTTCATCGCCATTACAAAGCCAAAGAGCCAGAGCTGTCCAAAGACGTCTCCGTGGTCAAGTGGCCGGCATGACTAAATGCTGAAGGCGCACAGAACGCTGTTATCTTCCCACCAAAGGGGTCCCTATTTTTCTACTTGCATTTTTTACATGCTTTCGAACTGCTAGGGTGGCAGAAGTTGGGACAAGGAACAGGCGCTCACTCCGTTACTGGGGATTCGAACTGCTGACCTTTCTGATTGACAGGTTCAGCGTCTTAGCCACTGAGCCACCGCATCCCTTATATTTGTTGTCACAAGGGGTCCACAAAGGCTTGAATAAATGTTATAATTTAAATCTTGACTTTGGTGGTCTATGGCCACCAAAGGTATTTAAAGGGGTCCGTGTTGAAGAAAACCTAGAGAACCACTGTTTTTGAGAAAAAGTAATGTAACATTTGGAAGAGATAATTTTACACTCTCTTTTTCTGCCAGTAATTAGGCTCATACAGGATGAAAAGACACAATTGCTTAGTTGTGGTTTGGTGATTCAGCAGCAATTGGCTGGATTCTCATAACTTGCTAAGCCATAAACCATTGTTAGTAACCCTGCAGGTGGATTTGTGCAACAGATTGAATCAAAGCCAAGAAAATCACCTGCTTGACATAATGTAAGAACTAGGTTTGTAAGAGAACATTAAACCCGTCTTAAATAAAGCCATCACAGTAAAACAAGTTAACACTTAAAAACAACAAACATCAAAATTCATTGTGAAAAGAAAATCAAGTAAAACACTATTGTTTTGCACATGTTATGCAAACTGCAAATGTTATGTTTCAGAGTTGTAACTGAAGACACTTAGCAAAAGGTCACACTTCTCTGTTGCACAAAACTCACGAAGATTCATTTTCTGATCCGGTAGTAATTTTGTCCCACATTTGGAGACAAGAATTGAATTCATCTGTTATTTGTGATGAAATTAACTTTAATCCCCCAAAGTTAATATATTTCCACAGCGGTATTATCTGACTTGCTCCAACAAAACAATAGATTATAATAATTTATTAAACTCATATGCTCCTTGACTCCCCCTCACAAAAATATTTTTTATTAAAATCATTTAAAATGTTTGTATTGTTTTTATTTTGAAAAAAGGCTTTAATAAAAATAATTTTCCACAGAGTAAATACAGTACAAGCTTTAAGTGAAAAATAAAAGGAATAAAAAATAGAAAAATGAAAGAAAAAGAAAAAAGGGGAAAAGAAAAAAGAAAGAATAATAAAGAGTGACTTTCCATTTTCCTAACTGCTGTTATAGGTACTGTGCTGCCTGACTTTTAATGACTCTGGATGGCTCACAATTATCAACGAAGTTGCAATATAATCAATAAAAGATTAAAGTTAAAGATAGATAAAGATTCTATACATGTCCTCACTTTTGCCCAAAGGTGCTTTTTTCAAGAGGCCACTGGACTTTCTTGCTTTTCTTTGAAGATGTTTCATTTCTCATCCAAGAAGCTTTTTGGGTGAGAAGCAAAACGCCTTCAAAGAAAAACCAGAAAATCCAGCGGCCTCTTGAAAAAGCACCTTTGGGACAACTATGACCTGGATGATGGAGAATCTCCATAGACATCCTTACTTTTATTTATATCTCGATGGTAAAAGCCAGATACTACAAGCCTTTTTAGTGACATGCTTAAATGCAAAAAGGAATTCCAAACCTATCAAAAAATCACTGTAAAACTCCAGCAGGGAACTTTGAAAATTCACTCGTGCCATAGCTCAGTTGCCTCTCCTTTTATCGCAAAGGTGTCCGTCAGTTGCCGCCTTATGCTTGCTTGTGCTACCCAGTCTGCCCTAAACTATGGGGAGGGTGGATGGGAAGGGCAATGCTTGGGGGAGAATGAAAGTTAACTTCTTTATCTCCCCGAGATGCTGCCTCAAGGTAAGCCAGCTGGGAGAAGAAGGCCGCTGCATACCAATCTAACCCACACGGCATCTGTCCTCATCTGTTGGCTAATTGTGCACTGCCCTGTTGCTTATCTTGTCAGGATAAAGAGCCCTTGCGGTCAATCCTCCTGAAGGATGTTCTGAAGACTCATGAATGTCTCGTCAAATCTGGGTAGGAGTGTTCATTATACCTGGGCATTTTATCTTAGTATTGGTATTTGTGCTGCCAAATCGCTTGTGGAATGAGTCAGTATTTAGAGTCAGGGGATGTTCCGCTTTGGTTTTGTTTGCAAGTCCACCACCTCAGTTAGAGTGACCATGACACCATGTCATTTCACCGGGGTAAAAAAACGCTACTCAGATTACATTGCTAGTGGTGGACAGATGAAACTGGGGATGCTATTCTGCAAAATAGTTTTTGGGGTAAAGTGGGAGGTAATCCTCCAGGTAATTCTGCAGAGTGATTTTGTTTTAGTACTGTGGTACCTTAGTTCTCATTAATCGGTTCTGGGAAGTGTGATCAATACCAAAACCAATGATTATCAAACATTTTTTCCCATAAGGGATAAGATAGTGAATCACCAGGTAGCCAACACCGACAAGTTCTAGCTTGTGCACTGAGTACCAAACCAATGAGTTCCGGGACAAAACGTCAAAATGTGTTGAGTACCAAATTCAAGGAGTTTCAAAGCCGTTGAGTACGGAGTACCGTAGCTTAAGGAAGGCCATGAAGAAAAGGAAGCTTCCATTTTGTAGCCAAGAAAGTGGCATGAAAGTGATGTCACTAATAGTCAGGCTTGACTTGAAGGGGCCTTTTTACCTTTCAGACTTCGTGAGGTACCAAACATAGATGCAGAAGTGATGCAGTTTGTCTCATTAAAGGCATTCCATGTTGCTTCTGAGGTTTCTTGAACTGACAAATTATCCCAGTGAGAGTCTCAGAAACAACACCAAGCAAAGCCACCAATTCCAGTTTCAGTTAGTATGAATATTGAATTAATTCTTTAAAGAAATTGGCATTCAGAAAAATGTTCCTGGTATGTGCAGGTAAGTTTAAGGTTAATACTTCTTCTTTTCTGTTTGTTTTTCAAGTGACCTTCTAATGAGGGATAATCTCTTCGAAATTATAACAAGCTACCGGACATTCTATATCCAGGTAAAATATACATTGCAATATATTTACAACAGGGTCTTGCAAATTTCCATTGTTTGGAAGTTGTTTAAACCTTCTTCCAAAAAATGTTGTAAATTGTGAAATTTCCAGATGCTGCTGAGCTATAACTTTCATGGTCGAGCTTCTTCTTGTGAGCTTCAAACCTATTTTAAGGAGACCAGTTTTCCATCTCTGAAGCTCAAAAGAAGAAGCTGGACAGTCATCTCTGATGAATTATTTCAGTGGTTCTCTGCATATTGCAGAGGGTTGAACTTGAAGATCCTTGTGGTTCTTTCAGCTCTATAATTCTACTTCAAGATGGTTGAAAATCAAACAAAAATTCCCAGATATTGACAAATAGTATACGCAAATTGACTAACCAGCTAATTACAAGGTTGTTCCCTCATCATTTAGAGTTCAAAGGCCCTGCAGAATAACCAGTCTTTCTAAAGAGTAGGAAGTTGAAGGCATTTCCACATTTAGAAGGCAAGGTTGTGATGACCCGGGCGTGGCACAAAGGCAGCACAGTCAAATAAGCAAGAAGAGTCCCTTTATTATCTCCAACTTTGCCCCGGGGTCCAAGTTACCTTCAGCTGGAGAAAAACTCTCCCAGGAACAGCCTTTAAGTGGAGGAAATTCAGTCCAAAAACAAAGTACGTACAAACCGTAACTAAAAATCCAAACAAACCACACTGCAGTAATTAACAGGGCAGGATAAGGAATTGCAGACTTGAAAGCATAGCAAAACACACACAGTTGGGAAGACGCTAGCAACAGATAAGCCTCAACGATACCAGATAATTCACAATTTGCTCCCAACAAGTTGTTGTGCACAGCTTCCCTTTTTAAACACTGTGTTCCCAGCTGCAGCTAATGAAGGGAATCAGGGCCCTTTCCTCCCCGTAAGCCATGCAACTCATGTTGCTCCCTTCTCTGTTCCTCCCTGCATGCCCTAGGATGAAGAGAAGATGGGCCTGGGTCTTCCTCTGAACCCCTTCTCCCTTGTTCTACCTCTCTCCTGCTCTGCCCAGCTGGACTTTGCCCTTCCCTAGTTTCTTCCACAGCCAACGGAGCCGCACTCCCACTCCCTGTAAGCTGCTCAGCCTCCCCCTCTGAATCAGATTCCGACAGGGGCATGAAAAGATGATCTAAATGTGGAAGGACATCACTGGGCTTCCAATCCCTTTCCAGTGATTGGAATCTGGTTTATATATGCCTTCTGTTTACCCTAGCCAGGATGCTGTGCATTTTAGAAGACCACCCATAGAACTTCCTAGCAGGTTTATCTGGTTGAATGTTTCAGAGTTTCTGAAAGTCACCTGGTTTCTCAGAAGGCTGGTAAATCTTCGTGTGTTTAAAAAAATGGATTCCTAGTGGGGAAGGCAGCATTTTTTTTAATTTACTTTGCAGAGGCCATCAATTTAGCTTTTGACAGTTGAAAGCATTCTTCCCCTGCCAAACAGGTTGCTTTGTTGACAGGCTGTCAAGCAGAAAGGGTAAATGAGGTGAGACTTAATACACAGTCCATTTTAGCCTAGGGGGATGTGAAGTGTGAGAATCCAGAGATTGCCACAATTTCACTTCTCCATTTCATCATATTCACAATGAAAGCTATTTGTATAGGTGCAGAACAGAGCCATAAACATGGGAATGTGTGTGTAAGATTGCAATAAGAGAGTTTTCCCCAGATAAGGGACACAACTGCTTTTCAGGTGTGTTGGGACAACATTTAGGAAGCATCAGATATTAGGAAACTAAGAGTTGTATGCAACTGGGAGAAAGCATTTTACTGACACTAGAAATGAGGGGGCCTTGGTGCTCTCTGAGTTTGTTTGTTTTCTTGCAGATGGTTCAACTACCCAAACTAGGTAACATACCCCAACTACTTTGGGTAAGGAAACATCTGCAAGAAAACAAACAACTCAGAGAGCACCAAGGCCCCCTCATTTCAACCCTGAGCTACAGATTGAGACACTAGAAAAGTTACCAAAAATTAATGCAAACTTCTCAAGATACCAATAAGTCTATAAGGTGCTTGTCTAGAAGAATTCTGAAAAGATGCAATATCTTCCTGTCAAGAACATCTTGCATTCTTTTTAAGTACCATTGCCTGAAATTCATAGAATTATAGGGCTGGATGGGACCTCAGAGGTCTTCTAGTCTAACCCCCCCGCCCTAGGCAGGAGTCCTTATTCCATCCCGGACAAACGGTTATCCACTTTTTCTTGAAAGCCATTGGCGAGCAAGAGCATGCTGTCCCAACATTTCTCAGATGAAAAGAGAAAAACAATTGTGCATATCTGAATTGCGACAGCTGAAGTCGTCTTTTGAAATTTGCAAACTGCAAACAGATTTGTTTTGAATTAATTTGAGCTAACTCACGCCTGTCTCCCTAAGACACTTTTGGAATTTGGACAATGTTTTACAGCCGTACTGAAATGACAGCCTGCTGGGAACGAGGGTTGCATATTTGCGCAGTGACTGACATGGGAAACATAACTAAGTTATAATGCACTAATTAAGCAGAATGTTAGTGCCATCCCTCTGGCCCCATCCTTTTCCCCATTCCTCTCTGTACTTTTGGAGTGATGAGCAAAGCCTTGTCCTTCAACTGTTCATTATTCTTTTCCAAGAAAGCTTTAGGGCCTTTTTGCAAATGGAGTTGATGAGAGTGGCTAGCCGTGTGTTTTTCAACACATTGTTTTCTCTCTCTGGATTCGAAGAATGGCTTAGAAACATTGGAAGTCAAGGTGGGGCAGAAATAGAGTCAAACACCAAAGGAGTTGTGCAGGTGTACCTTGGGTTCCCACAGATGCTTTGTTGAAGGTCTGATTTTAGGGGTAGGCTAGGATTCTTCTTCTTCTTCTTCTTCTTCTTCTTTTTCTTCAGCGTTTGTCTCGCCTTGGGTGAGGTCCGCTAATGTCCAATGGCCACGTTGATTTTTGGCGCAGGCCAATGGTCTCCTGCGCCCGTCGGTTCCCCCGAACGCGGTAGCATTGGACGTGTGTTTTGTAGTGGACGTTTCCACCATGTTGATGCGGCATTTGAGTACTCCAGCCGGCCTGTCGTCGGAGGGTCTGCTCTCAGTTACGGTCAGCGTTTGACGGCTTCGTGCATCCAGGGGACACCACTTGGAGGTGGCAGACCGCTCGTCCCCCAGGGGTAGGCTAGGATTAAGAATAAAAATAAGAATAACACAGTTGGGAGGGACCTTGGAGGTCTTCTAGTCCAGCCCTCTGTTCAATTGGGAGATCTTTTCCATTTCAGATAATATCCAGTCTCTTGTTTAAAACCTCCAGTGATGGCTCTAATCACTGAAGGCAAGCTATTTCCACTGTCAGGAAATTTCTCCTTAATTCTAGCTTGGATCTCTCTTTGGTAAGTTTCCATCCATTGCTTCTTGTCTTGTCCTCAGATGCTTTGGAGAATAGGTTGGCCCCCTCTTCTTCGGGGCGTCCCCCTAAAAATTGGAAGACTGCTATCACGTCACTTTCTTTTGATACGTGGACTTATAATGGTGCAAAACATGTAGCTTGAAGAGATCCCAGAAAGCTTTCCCTATTTTTCTCAAACAGGACAGAAAATGTCCTCATTGGCCATTTTCTTTCATTTGCACTCTCCGTGGGTGCTTTAAACAGTCGGAAATGCAGGTTAAGGTCAGCAAGCTTCCGTCCTTTGACCCAGCTCAAATTCCGTGGAGGGAAAACTTAGTGTGCAGGACACAAATAGGTGTACGCATCCAAACGTGAATTTTTTTGTGAATGATTTGGAAGGGAAGAACATAATCAATGGAGTAAGGGCAGATGATTTTAAGAATGACATTTGCAATATAGGTTGCTGGCGGGGGGGGGGGTGTTGCACCTGTCCAGGAGTTACGGTTGGCTGTGTTTTGTTTACTGGGTAAGCAACTATGTGGCAAGCAGTTGTGCAAGAGAGCGTGGCTCCCATCTGTTTGAAGAAGACCACAGTTCTGCAAGAGTATGCATCTTGGCTAGTTATATATGCCTTCAGCTACGTGAGCCTTGACTTCTTTTAGATTAGGCTCTCCAAACTAGGCAGCTTTAAAAACTTGCAGACTTCAAATCCCAGAATTCCTCAGCCAGGCATGGATTTGAAGTCCACAAGTCTTAAACTGTCATGCCCCTGTCGGAATCTGATTCGGAGGGGGAGGCTGAGCAGCTAACAGAGAGTGGGGGCGTGGCTTTGTTGGCTGGGGAAGAAACTGGGGAAGAGCAAAGTCCAGCTGGGCAGAGCAGGAGAGAGGTAGAGTAAGGGAGAGGGAATTCGGAGGAAGATCCAGGCCCACCCCTTCTTCATCCTAGGGCATGCAGGGAGGAACAGAGAAGGGAGGAATGTGAGTTGCATGGCTTATGGGGGAGGAAAGGGCCCCGATTCCCTCCATTAGCTGCAACTGGGAACACAGTGTTTTAAAAGGGAAGCTGTGCGCAACAACTTGTTGGGAGCAAATTGTGAATTATCTGGTATCGTTGAGGCTTATCTGTGTTGCTAGCGTCTTCCCAACTGTGTCTGTTTTGCTATGCTTTCAAGTCTGCAATTCCTTCTCCTGCCCTGTTAATTACTGCAGAGTGGTTTGTTTGGATTTCTAGTTACGGTTTGTATGTACTTTGTTTTCGGACTGAATTTCCTCCACTTAAAGGCTGTTCTTGGGGGAGTTTTTTCTCCAGCTGAAGGTAACCTGGACATTGGGGGCAAAGTTGGAGGCACTAAAGGGACTCTTCTTATGTGACTGTGTTGCCTTTGTGCCGTGCCCCTTTGGGTCATCACATAAACTTGCCAAATTTGTAGACCCCTGGATTAAAGTATATGGTGGAGCCACCAACTGAAGGAGAGGAAGCCCTGAGAGGGGGAGTTAAAAGACATTTCAGCTCAGAGTCTCTTTGCGGGAAGAAACGTCTGAGGACCAACCTTTAGGTTCTATCTCGCCTTCCTAAGACTGGAGAGTTTGTACAATTTAAAGAGATTCTTGTAACCTGGTGATCAACAATAAAGAAAACCCCTCTGACCCATTCTCAAAGCTCTTCTGGTTTGCTTGCACCTGACAAAAGTATGAGATAATGGAGACTCCACCTGACCTGCTCCCTGGACATAGGTTTCCCTTAGATGAGCACCAAAGGATCTTACTCCAGTTTGCCAGGCTCACCTGACGGTGCACATCTTTTTAAGAGAGGGATGGGCAGGCCTCAGCCTTGCATGTGGTCCTATGGTTCCAGGAGTGGGATTCAAAAATCCCAGCAACCAGTTCGCTGCCTGGTTGCTGGGTGGGTGTGGCCTACTGGAATTTCTGGTTTGGCTGTTTTTTGCCTTCCCCAGAGTCTTCCGGAGGCTTTCCTCGGGCCTCTGGGAGGGCGAAAATGGCCTCCCCATGCTCTGGAGGCCCACTGGAAGCCGGAAATGGGGCCATTTCTGGACTTCTGGAACTTCCAGTTCAGCCTGTTTTTTGCCTGCCCCAGAATCCGGAGGGTTTCCTCAGGCCTCTGGGAGGGCGAAAATGGCCTCCCCCAGGCTCTGGAG